ATCATGCAAACTGGGACAAGGGAGTCTTTCTGTTTTTCCACAATGCAAGAATTTCAATTTTTAAAATAATGTTGATGTATTCATGTTTATTTTATTTTAAAGGCAGAGAGATCTCCTATCTGCTAGCTCACTCCCCAAATGCCTGCATGCAACAGCCAGGGCTGGGCCAGGCAGAAGCCAGGAGCACAGAATTCCATCCAGGTCTCCCACTTGGGTGGCAGGGACCCAAGTAGTTGGACTATCATTTGCTGTCTCCCAGAGTGTGCATTAGCAGGAAGCTGGATTGGAAGTGGAGTACATGGGACTGAAACCAGGCACTCCAAAATGGAATGCAGGCATCCTAAGTGGCAACTTAGCCACTGTGCCAAACGCCCAGACCCCAGATTGCAAGTTTTTAATCACGATAGAAAACACAATTGGTGTGGTGGCTGTCACCAGAGTCATTCAGTGATATTCTGATTTTATGTCTGGGTAATTACACCTTGTCTTTGACTTAGGTGGGATCATGCATTTGCTTTCGGCATTGGAACGTGAGCAAAATAACACACGTCGCTTCTGGATGGAAGTTCTAAGAATCAGGCTGCGATATACCCAGCTCCCTTTTCCCTGTCTCCACACCCAGGGGAGTCAGACTCTCTCAGCCAGGGGCCCTGAGTGGGGACAATGCAGAGAGGAGCCCAGCTGATGCTCATTGGCTGTTGCAAGAGAGGAAAACACCATTGAGCTTTAAGCCCTGAGGTTGGGAGGGGCTGGTGTTCCTGCAGCTCATCCTTGTCTCCCCTGGCTGATTGGTAGAGTGGTCACACCCACGTCTGTAATGTTCTCCTCCGCTGTCAGGTGTGTGGATTCTGAGCGTGGCTCTGGACTTGCCGACAGGCCTGGTCCAGGGTGCCACACACCTGATCACCAGCTCCAGGCTCCAGGCAGTGCTTTGGCTAGGAGGACATAAGCAAAGGGGCTTTCATGGAGTGCTCCCCCTTAAAGGAAAAAGGAGGGGTACAGGCCAGGGAAGCGTGCTGAGGCTGCACTGATAATGTGCTGTGTGAGTGGTTTAGGAGAGTAAGAATCAGCCAGAATGCTCTGCCTGGGTTTGACAAGAGTGTGTGTGACATAGCTAGCACAGGTATTTGGGAGGAGCAGGCAGGCACAGAACCAAGGTCAATTTGCTTTTATTATTATTATTATTATTATTTATTTTTTGACAGGCAGAGTGGACAGTGAGAGAGAGAGAGACAGAGAGAAAGGTCTTCCTTTACCATTGGTTCACCCTCCAATAGCTGCTGTGGCCGGCGCAGCGTGCTGATCCAAAGCCAGGAGCCAGGTGTTTCTCCTGGTCTCCCATGGGGTGCAAGGCCCAAGCACTTGGGCCATCCTCCACTGCACTCCCAGGCCACAGCAGAGAGCTGGACTGGAAGAGGGGCAACCGGGACAGAATCTGGCGCCCCGACCGGGTGTGCCGGCGCTGCAAGGCGGAGGATTAGCCTAGTGAGCCGCGGTGCCGGCCTCCAAGGTCAACTTGTGCATGTCACACAAAGGGTAGTAGAGATCCAGGCCCTAGGACTGGGGCCTCCACTAGGTGGCGCTGCATGAAAAGATGGAGTTCTGCTGTCCTCCCCTGTACAGTCCCACCAACCAGGAACAAATGGCCAGACGACCAGCCTGGCTATCTTGGGGTTTCTCTACAAGGGGGTTGGTGCTGCCAGCTTCTCAACCCAGTTGGATGCCCTTGGGAGCCAGGGGCGAGCACTGATCTGGGGCCCCTTCTCTGTTGGCATCACGAGGGCCCTGAAAAAAACGGCTGGTTCCATCAGTATCCACCTCTGAACATCCCAACTAAACATGGGCCTGGTCTCCCCCTTCCCAGAGACCAAGAGTGGCTCCGGAGCCTCCAGGTGAAGGGAGGGACGGGGGGACCTGTCTTGCACTGTTGAGTCTCGCCCTTCCGTCCTTGGAGAGCATGGAGGAGGGAGGCTGCCGCTCGTCCTGCAGCCCTGTCCCCTTCCTACTCCAGGTGGACTTTGTGCCGGGGGCAAGGACAACCCAAATCTGCCAACGAGGTCCTGTGGGAGAGAGTGCCTTCCTGTTTCTTTTCCAGATCCCCGAAGCCTGCAGTAGGCAGAGCAATGACTTTTTTTTTTTTTTAATATTTACTTATTTATTTGAAGGGCAGAGTTGCAGAGAGAGAGAGAGAAAGAGAGAGAGAGAGAAGTGTCTTCTTCTACCCACTGGTTTACTCCCCAAATAGCCACAATGGCTGGAGCTGGGTCGATCCCAAGTCAGGAGCCAGGAGCTTCCAAGGACTTGGGCCACCTTCTACTGCTTTCCCAGGCCATAGCAGAGAGCTGGATCAGAAGTGAAGCAGCCAGGACATGAACAGGCACCCATATGGGATTGGGTTTACCTGCTACGTCACAGTGCTGGCGGCTGTGGAGAGCCTGGGGGCAAGGAAAGCCCAGCCCTGGGTGGGGGCAGGGGCGCAGTGCGGCCACACTTAGTGGGAGAAACGTTAGGGGGAGATTTTACAGAGGGAATTCTCTTCTACTCGCTGACGGAGGTCAAGGGGGCAGGGTGTGGCCAAAGGAACCTGGAGAAGGTTCTCAAGGGGCTGGGTGTAGAGGTCTTCATCACGGACAGCTGTGTGTGGAAAGAGGGCAGTCACATAGAGGGCGCTGGACAGCCCTCCCCGCCCCCCGCCCGGGCCCACTGCTGAGCCCCGGCCTGTGGACCTGCAGCTTCGTAAACCAGACCAGCAGGCTCTGCCCGGGCTCACTCCCTGCAGAACTGGGCCACGGACTGCGTGAGCCCCACCGGGAGTCTGCTCCCAACCCAGAGCTGCAGGAAGCCCGCTGAGCCAAGCCTAGGGTCTTCAGATCAGGCCTCGCTCCCAACTCCCGCTGGCCATGGACTCGGCTTCCCTTGGCTTTGCCCCCAAAGCTCTGTCTGCAGCATTCCCCACACACCAGTGATGGTCTGAGGTGGACGGGGCGGGGGACCCCATGGGGCAGCTGCATGGCGGAGATAAGAGGAAGAATGACCATGACCGACAATGCACACATATTGGAGGCAAAGCCCAAAGGGGTGGGCCCGGCTCCTCCCACAAAGTGGGCCACCTGCAGGCTCCCTGCTGGGACGGTCCTTGACAGCAAGGAGGAGAGGAGCGAGCAACCCCGGCCAGGGAGGAAGACTGCGCTTGGAGAAACCAGAGTCTCACCCCCCAGAGACCACCCAAAGAACGCGGCAACCACGGCAAGGTGCATCCATTTTTATTTTATATAAAACAAGCTACAAATAGATTCCCTCCCTCCCTCCCCACCCCGCCCCTCCCTCACAAAGGAAAACCACAACGCGGCCTACACGCACAAGCGAAGACGACGCCTGGGGAAGATTTTGGCCTCCCTAAGGGGGCCCCTCTCCATGTGGACACGCTTCCTCCAAGCCGGGAAATGGGGCTGGGGTCTCCTCCATCCAGCTCCAGCGTGCCGAGTTTTCTGGCTGAGGCCCAAAGCGAGGGCTTGCTCTCTACCCTGCCACATGTCACCCTGAGACACCCTCGAGGACTTTCTGCAGGACAGCTGGAACCTTCTCTGGCCTGAGACCCTATCAGATCCTATTCCCAGAAGGCCATGGGCCCCCCGGGGGGGGCAGTGCTCACAGACCACTGCCTTGCAAGCCTGTCTGTGTGGCAGACACACCTGCTGCCGAGGTGGGTGCCCTTCCAGGGACACTGGGCGGGAAGCAAAGATGAGCCAGGTTTTGCGTGGGATGAGGGCAGCGGTCCTGGGCTCCCCACGCTCCCTCCGCGCCGCAGGGGCTGCCCACGGGAAGAGGCGCTGCGCTGTCACTTGGCGCTGTGTCTGAAGGTCATCTGAATTCGGAGAGGTCACAGCGCATCTCCCTGAGCCCTACCGGGTCAGAGCCTTGCCAAGCCAGGCCTGGGTTTCCCCAGAGCCTGCTTAGTATCCCTGTCCTTTTAGGGCAGGCAGAAGCAGAAGGCCCGAGAGTTTTCCTTCTAGAATTGGCCCGAAGCCTGGGAGCTCAGAGGAAAATGTAAGGGAACAAGAGCAACCTCAGTTTGGGTTACACACACACACACACACACACACAACTGCTGGGTACGGAGCTCCCTCGGGCTGTGGCCCGCGCTGAGGACAACGCGGGAGACGGGCGAGCGGAGGCAGCGGCTCCATCTGAAGTCCCGGAGCCCCGTGTGGAGGTTTGCGGGGACTTAGACGTCTTCCCGCGGGCTCCGCCCCCCAGAACGGGCCTTCTGTCCCCCGCCCCGCGCTGCGGGCGTGGGGGGGCCCTTTTCTGCCAAGGGCCGTCTGGATATTTATAGCATCGTTCGTGGGCCGTACAAGATCAGCAACTTAAAAATTAGCCTGCTAGGGATTTATTGCATTGCGCGTCCCGCCTGCGGTTGCCTTGGCAGGGCCAGACCCAGTGATTTCACAGGCCGGACCGTCCCCACCCCTGCTAAACGCACTAAATCAAGGCCCCGCTGCGTGTGCTTTTCTTCTTTGGCTCCCTTCTCATGCCTGCCACGTGGAAGATGTTTAACCTCTCCTAATGCAAGTTCTTGGAGGGTCATTTGCTTGGTGGGTAACAAACCAGGCCCCAGGAGGTCTGTAGCGCAGAAGCAAATGGATCAGGCGAGAGTTGGGGCCTGCGCTGGCTGCCCCGCTCGCCCGGCCTCTCCTCCTCCCGCGGAGCAATGCCCATCTACCCCCAACCCAGCAGCCCTGGAGAAGGCCAAGGGCCAAGCGGCCTGCCGACTTCACCAGCCGATGGCCCGGAGCAGTGCACTCCTCCCACCAGAAGCGAACAGCTGGAGTCTGCAACAGCATCGCAGGCTCCCATCTGTACGGGCACCAGGCGAGTCTCCAAGCGGAGTCCAGGCCAGCTGAAGACACAGTCCTGGGTTCTAGAAAGCGTCCACAACCGGCAGCAGGGAGAGGGAGGGGGTAACGAAGAGCAGTGCCAACGCCTGTACAACGGAACTATACAATTTACATATATATTTATGTACAGTATATAAATCTCTTTCTTCTCAGTTCCAACAACACCCTTCCCCGCCTCCCCCCTAAAAAAATCCCCTAAAAGTTGTCAGTAGCAGATCCAAAAACTTACAATGAGAGAGAGAAGAAGCAGTCTTTCTTCCCCTTCCTGTTCCCACTGTGGTGTTAGATACTGGTGTTTAAAAATGAAACCGAACACAAGACACGCAAATAGGAGTTATTAAAAGTGCAAACATGGTGGGCGTCACTTATGTTACAGGGGATGTGGCGGGGCCGTGGGCAGCGCTGAGGTCAGGGGTCTGATGGTGCATCTTGTTTCCCTCGGCTCTGCACCTGCCCTCTGGTTTCTGCTCCTTAGACGAGGCGTCCTACCGGGAGGAGGAGGAGGAGAGTACAGAAAAGGGGGGGGGGTATAAGCAAAAAGAAGTTAGCGTTGGGGGTATGAGAAATGCAACTGTGTGTCAACTCCCCACAGGAGCAGCCTTGTCCACCTGCTGTCAGACACGGGCGGGGTGGGGCACAGGTGGCCTAACTGTGCACATTAGCACATCCGCCCAGCGTATCCATCGACTCTGGGCCACACAATGGCTATCGGAGGTTCCAGAGAACAGGGCTCTCCTGGTACACACAGGTCAGGGCTGTGCACTCTGTACAAATCACACTACCCCAGGCTGCGCTGCAATGACAAGGATGGCAGTGACCGGTGGGGACGGCAGCGTCCTCTTAGCGCTACTTCAGCCTTTCTCTCTTGTCCTCAGCGAACAAAAACGGAAAATGACTGTCTCGGGGGTAATCTAATAAGGGCCGATCCCTTCACCAAGCTTCCTCGCGGGGGCTGTGGAGTGAAGAGGGAGGCCAGGCGGGGGCGACTTACTGAGAGGGTTTGTGCCTGCTCATTTTCCCTGGGGGAGGCTGCCAAGGCTACCACCTGCAACGAATAGGAACACATGACACTGCAGGGTCCTTGACCCAGGGAGCTGGCAGGGCTTCGCCCGCGCCTGGTCCTGGCCCTCTCTATCCCGAGAATGAAGAATGAGGTGGGGAAACAGCCAGGCGGTGCGTGGCTGTGCTTCCGTCCTGTCTGCGTGGGTGCGCCGTGGCTGACCAACACCTCCAAGCAAAGCCCCCTTCCAAAGCCAGGCCCTGCTGAGGCGCCTCTTTGGAAGCCCCTCAGTGAGCAGCTCCTGGACATCTACAAGACCTTCAAGTCCCAGAACGCCGGAGGTGGAGTCTTCAAACCAGTCTGGTGCCTCCAGTTGACAGATCGTGGAAGCAGAGGCGCAGGCAGCTGAGTGACTTACAGAAGGTCCAAACCCACTTCCGCTAACACCCACTCCTCCCCAGAGGGTGCCGAGAGGTCTTGGATGCTATTGAGCCTGCTTCTGCAGGGCTCAGGCCTCCTGATGGAGAGGCAGGGAGTGCAGAGGCCTGCACACCAGAAGCCGGGCCAGCCGTGGGTTGTTCTGTGCAGTGGGAATTAGGACCTCGGCTGTGCTGTTTCAGCTCCGCCTCCTGCCCAGGCTCGCCTGGGGAGCAGCCTGAACTCTTGCGGGAGGAGAAAGACGTGGGGAGCGTTCATTGCTGTGCGTTTGTGTGATGACGCCATGGCTCCGTGTCCCTCTAGCTATGCCAACATGGCTTATGCCCCGAGACAGAGGCGCAGACCATGGGGTGAAGTGGACGCAGGCGCATTGGTGCGTCCAACCTTGCAGATGAGAACACTCAGAACGCTCCAGTGGCTTGCCTGGGGGGCAGGGGGCAGCGGCAGAGCCAGGCTGGCTGCCCGCCCCTCCCCGCTGAGCTGCACCCACAGCTGCTCCTCCCAGTGGTGGGCAGAGAGGTCAGTGCATATGAGGGGCCTTCAAGGAGTCTGTGGAGAATGGAACTAAGAAAGTTTATTTGGGGACAAACAAGTTTTGAAACCCAGGTTTTTCTTTTCTCTCTCTCTCTTTCTTTCTTTCTTTTTGACAGGCAGAGTGGACAGTGAGAGAGAGAGACAGAGAGAAAGGTCTTCCTTTGCCGTTGGTTCACCCTCCAATGGCCGCCGTGGCCGGCGTGCTGCGGCTGGCACACCGCGCCTATCCGAAGGCAGGAGCCAGGTGCTTCTCCTGGTCTCCCATGGGGTGCAGGGCCCAAGCACTTGGGTCATCCTCCACTGCACTCCCGGGCCACAGCAGAGAGCTGGCCTGGAAGAGGGGCAACCGGGACAGAATCCGGCGCCCCGACCGGGACTAGAACCCAGTGTGCAGGCACCGCTAGGTGGAGGATTAGCCTATTGAGCTGCGGTGCTGGCGAAACCCAGGTTTTTCTTAATACACACTTTGTCATGTGCTTTTGGAAGGCCCTCCTGTGGGGAGCAACTGGGAGCAACTCGGACTAGACTGTTACTCGAATTAAGACTTATTGTATGCATCCGCTCTCCCACAATATGGCGCTGAGAAGGGAGTAACAGCTTCTACACAGCTGCCTCCAGTTCAACCAATAAACAGCAGGACCTGCTCCTGATTGGAGGAGAGCAGCGTACTCGGCGTGTGGGTAGCAGAGTTGGGATTGGTGGAAGAGGACTATAAAGGAGGAGAGAGACAACATGCACCAGGAACATCTATCTGAAGGAACACCTGTGCAGCCCCCGAGAGAGCTGGCCGGCGGTGTGCCGCTCCCCCGCGGAAGTGGGGAAAGTGGCAGGGGGAACCGCCCTTCCACAAAGGTGGAAGGGTCGGTAGCCAACCCGGGAAGAACCAGCAGCAAACCCGGGAAGGGCCAAGCAGACGAAAGAACAGCGCAGGGTCCTGTGTTGTTCCCCCACGAAGACGGGGAGCGACATAATGGTGCCGTGACTCGGATATGAAGCCTAGGCAGGGTTTAGTGTTGTTCCTCCACAAAGAGGGGGAGCAACACCTCCTACACTTAGCTTTCTGAATTTGTTGCATCAGTATAAACTTATCCTATAATTCTATTTTCCACAAACTTTTCAAAGTCCCCCACAGCAATGAGGCTCAGGAAACCAAATGGATCACCAGGCATAAAACCAGTTCCCTTTCGTAGAGGCGCACACTGCTGGTCCCCGTACCTGGTCCCATCACTGAATCCTCAGTGCCTCTATTTGACAGTGATAAAACTGTCCCCACGTTGTGAGGATGGCACTGAGGCTCACAGACGCCGAGGAGCCTCGCGCAGATGGCACAGGTTTCTCGTGGGGAAGTGAACGCGCACCTGGCCATCCGCCTGCAGAACCACACTCTGACCACCAGGGAGGGCAGACGAGAGGATAAGCCTGAGCCCAGGGCAGCCAGCATCCTCGGGCAGGTCAGAGGGAGGGTTAGCATTCCTGAAATACGGGAGCACTAGGCCAGGTACTGATAATCACCCTGACGCAGGTGCTTTATAAATAGGGAAGGGCCAGTGCAGACACAGGCCCGGGCCTCAGAATGGCCTCTTCCCGTGCTACCCAGACTTCTCCGGCAAGGGTTCTTGATGGTAAAAGAATCTGAGATCCCAAGGCATTTCCAAAAATTCAGTCTAAACTAAACTCCACTCATTCCTATACTCTACAGCCGGCCCCTAGCTAGCTTTTACCCCGCCCCCCTGAGTGCAAGCCCTTGTCAGCCCACCAGAGGGCGCCCCATGACACCAGATGACCAGTGTGTAGGCTTCATGGCGCGGAGCAGCCGCACAGATGGCATCTACCCAAGCCGCTTTTCTGCCCACCTCCTGAGCAGACGGACACGGGGAAGCCACCAGGCCTGTCCTCAGTGCAGGCTGGAGGGATCCTCTGGTGCTCACCCCTTCTGTGCGTTGTCTGTGTACCAGGCACTGTGCTATGTCCTCGGCATGCTGCAACTCGGTAAAGCCTCAACCAAATCTAGGTGTTGATGCTTTCCTTCCCATTCTACAGATAGGAACACTGAGACTCGGGGAGTTCAGATAACTTGCACCTCTCTGCCTGCACACACCATCGCAAGGCTGGGTCTGCTCCCTGTTTCCTCAGACGCACTGATAGCCAGCCACCCCGTTGGCTTCTTCAGGCTTCCTCAAGCCTGGCCTGGACACACAAGGCACTGTCTTCAACAGTCTGGGCTGCTCCTCGTGGAGGGACAGCAGTCACCCAGGATGCCTGAGGCTGGGCCAAGTGCCAGCAAGGTCGCTGTGTCACGAGCAGCCTGGAGGAAACAGCGAGCCCTCTGCAGGCTCATCTAGGTCCTTGCCTGCAGAACACACTAGAGGATGTAGAGGGGCTTCTCGCTCTTGGCAGCCGTGCACCTAGAGCCGCGCACCCTGTGGTGTGCGCAGAATTGCGGCCTGGCGGGACTTCCCCGTGGGCTTTGCATCCACACAGCCTCCTGCCCAACCCATTCGACAAACTAACCCTCCATCCCCTGCTGCCGTACTCTGTCCCACCCCACACACACACGCACAGACAGGCAGACATATTAGACAGTGCATATACAGACATGCACATGTGCACCCTCAGACAATGCCTAAAGACGTGTGCACAGACACTACGCAGACCATGCACACACAGACGCAGCCATGCACACAGAGACACAGCCACGCACACAGAGACACACACATACGTGTGCACATACATACAGATGCACTTTTAACTACGCAGTAGGTTCAGGGTTCAAACAACCGTCCTAAGCTTCTGGTCTCCCCAGTCTCGCCTTGCGGTGGGAGTCAGGAGAGAGGTTGGGCCAAGAAGGATGACAGCTGCATTGCAACGCACCCTAGAGGCCTCCATGGGCAAAGCTGTGAAGGTAACCTGAACCTCCGTCCTGTCCCCAGCTGAGTGTGGGGTGAGGAGGGACTTCGAGGTGGCCGGTGTGCCCTAAACACCACGTCTGACCCGCACTTTTCCCTGGCTGCTTCATTCCGTGCTGGAGGGGCAGACACCTGGTGCCTGCAAAGGCTGCACCCTGGGAGGCAGCAGGAGGGGATTCAAGCATTTGGGTCCCTGACACGCACACAGGAGACATGAATTGAGTTCTGGGCTCCTGGCTTCAGTCTGGTTCAGCCTAGGCTGTTGCAGGCATTGGAGAGTGAAACGGTGGACACTAGAGCTTTCTCTCCCCCAGGCCCTGCCCTAGGTGTCTCTGAAATAAATAAAATAGTACCTAAATATTTAAAATGCAAGATCACACAAAAACAGGTCACGGACTAGATTAGGCACGTGAGCCGTGGTTTGCTGAGCCCTGGTTTAGACATTTCCATTCACAAAGTGTCCTGAGGCTGTCTACCCACCTCTGTATGTTCCCACAATCCTCTCCACCTGTTCTACTGTGACGGAGGTTTCTAGGTAGGTGTTCACCAAAATCCATGCTTGCTTCCTCCTCCTGGCTTCCCAGTCTCCTTACAGTTGGCTGTGGTCTTGTGACTGAGTTCCAGCCAGCGAAATAGGAGAACTAATGCATGTCCTTCCCAAGACCGGCCATGAAACTCACTCCCTCCACTGCTCCACGCTGACTCCATCTGGTTGACTGGGAACGCAGATGACTCCAAGGGTGACCTTTGGAGCCACATGGTGGAGATGCTGAGTCACTCTCAGCCTGGATCTCAGGGTGACTACAGGAGATCATCCCCACTCCGAGGGCTTTCTCTACACACACACACACACACACACACACACACAACTACCACCACCATGCTGAACTATGCCATGGGCACGACAAAACATCTCCACTCTGCTGAGCCAGGATACATGTGGGTCTACTTGTTACTGCAGCCTGCCGTAACTAATACACCCTCACACCCTCATCACAATGCATGGGAATACTTACTAAAAACCTGTCTCCTCAGTAGACTGTGAGAACACAGGGCCTTACCTGTCTGCTCCACCACAGTAACAGGCATCTAGCATGAAACACAGCAGAATCCCAGGAAATAGTTGTGGAACACGTAAGACTCCAGCGCTCACTGAATAAATGACATTTCAGAGCCCTGGGTCCCTGTACAGAAAGGCCAGGGGCCCACTCACCTTCTTTGCTAACACCCAGGCAGCCCTTTAGCTCAGGCAGCGAGATGACCTTGTCCTTGTTCAGGTCACAGTAGTCGGTGAAGCGCCGGGCACATTTCTTGGGCTTGGCTTTCTTCTTCACGTAGCGCTTGAAGGGCTTCATCTCCCGCTTGTTAATGTCACTGCTGCTGTTGCTGTCCAGCTGGCTGAAGTACCAGTGCACCACTCGCTCCTCCAGGGTGTGGGTGGGATCTGGCTCTGAGAATCTGGGCCCAGAGAACACAGCTTAGCATCTGGCAGGGACCATCGGCCACTCCACCCACCCATCCCGCCACGATTCTCTCCCAGGTGGTCAGTCGCCAGGGCGCTTGCTGTAGTTTGAATGTGATTTGTCTCCACCAAAACTCATGCTGCAATTTGCTTGCCAATGAAATGGTGTTGGGAGGTGGAGCCTTTAAGAGAGTTTAGTCTTTATTGCAGTAAAAGGTTAGTTCTCGCAGGAATGAATTTGTTCTCCCAGGAGCAGACTGTTATAAAGCATCTGGCTTCCTTTGTGCCCCCTCCTCTTTGGATGCACCTGTTGTCCTCCTACTCTCTGCCATGAGTTTAAGCTGTACAGGCCCTCCTCTCGTACTCTGGTTGCTCTTCAAATCATATAAATCTTTCGCCTTTCACTAAAGGCCCTCCTCTTGCCAGATGCCAGCTTCATTCCCTTGAACTTCCAGAACCGGGAGCCAAAATAAACCTCTTTCCTTTATAAATTACTCAGTACCCGGCATTCTGTTACAGTAACAGAAAATGGACTAAGAGAGCACTCATGCTGGGCCGCCAGGCGTCAGGAAGAAATGACTTCTGCAAGCCACAGACCCCAGATGCACTCAGCTCGGGGCAGCATGGAGACGGCCTCTCCCCTTGTCTCGGGACTGGACCATTCTTTTCCCAGGGACGCCACAGATGTGCTCCTTACGAACCTGCCACAGCCAGGAAAGTTCTTGCACCTGACGGGTGCTTAGAATAACTTGGCTGGATTTAATTCACCTGAGTAAGCCACAGCTGGGTTCCGGGCTGCCCTTCTCCTGGCCTTGTGCTCACTGAAGACAAATGTGTGTGCCCGGTTGGATGCAACCATGGAAAAGGGTGCTCTATGGCCACCGCACAACTCAGTGCCGGGCCCGGTCCTGGGAGGGCACCCACGTCCTCCAGCTGCCCACTGTCTGTGTGAGACGGAGCCAGCGGTGTGACAATAGCCAGTGACAGGTACAAGCAAAGGATGAAATGTTCATGGCCTTTACTGCCAGGCACCAGGAGGGCAGGAATTGAGAGAAGAAGGCAACCGAGATGTACAAAAGCAGAGCTTCTAAAACCAGACAATCCCAGGCCCTCTTAGAGGGAGTCTCTAGCCCATGGTTATCCGATGGGAGGTCAGGAGTGGACCTAGGGAACCACGGGTAAACCAGCACCCCCTGGGGATTCCACTGAGAAATACAGAACTAGAGTTACCAGGAACACCTCCTGCTGTCCAGATGCACAGTAAAGGTCACGTCCAGCAAGGCCATGCATCTGACTGTGAGGCTACGAGTCCAGTGCCCACTTGTATAACCCCATGCAATGACCCATCCATCTGTCTTATCTATTTATGTCTGCCCCTTCTTTTTCCCGAAAGGATTAAGGTGCTAGCTAACATTTATAAGCTTTAGAGGATGTGTCCATTCCAGAAGGGGGACTGGATGGAGCCGCACAACTCTCAATGCTCCAGGTCCCATGGCTTGGCCCTGAGCAAATATCATCTAGGCCCTAGCGTTCAAATTCCTGAGCAGCTTCCTTTGGGAAGGGGAACACGGTTGAGCCTGGGAGTCCCACGCTTCCAAATACTTTATGTGCGGGGCACTGGGATACAGCACATTTGTGCCAGGGTTCAGAAGAGGGCACGGGGGGCTGCTGTTACACAGGGACCTGAAGCAGGGGTCAGGGACTGCCTGCACACTCGGAAGCTGCTCATAGTAAGAAACTATTCAAGGTGCTGGCCAAAGCCACCCTCTTTTCTCTGGAGTTTGCAGATTTTTCCAGAAGGGAGGGGCCCATCTGCGACCTATCCCCTGTGAAAGATCCAGCAAACTCCCTGCCCACCTCACCCTTTAAGTGACCTCAGAGTTCAAGGAAAAAGAAATTTTATTACAAAAAAAAGTAGAGAGGGAGTGCTTTGTGGCCCAGCAGGTTAAGCCACCACTTAGGATGCCCACACCCTGTATCAGAATGCTTGGTTTGAGTCTGGGCTACTCCATGCCTCTGATCCAGCTTCCTGCTAATGAGCCTGGGAGGCAGCAGATGGTGGCCAAGGACTTGGGTATCTGTCTCGCATGTAGGAGACACAGATGGAGTTCAGGGCTCCTGACTTCAGCCTGGCCTAGCCCGGGATGTTGCGGGCATTTGGGGGAATGAACCAGTGGATGGAAGACCTCTCCCCCAGCCCCTTCTCTGGCTCTCCCTCTCTTCCTGCCACTCTGTTTTTCAAATAAACAAATAAATCTTTCTAAAAAATAAAGAAAAATGGAAAGTCAGTCATCCCTGCTGTATGCCCGCCCCTAGTTAAGTGCATTTCCGTCTTGGACAGGTTCCCCTGGACATTCTGGACGGATTCCAAGAGGGCACAATGAGCAGCTCTGCCAGGCGGCCCTCACCCTAACAGGGCTGACCCAGGGAGAGCCTGGGGACAGTGTGAGGGAGCCACGCAGAGCCGCCAGCCGCCTGTGGTTCTTCACGAATCTGCTTCATCCGTCATGGAAACCAGGCTCGGGAGGTCTTTGAAGCAGGCATGAAGTTGCTAGCTACACAGCTTGCATTTTGTCATGTGCAGCACACACGGCTTGTGAGTGCTCGGACTCTTCACCTGTGCACCTGCAACACTGCCTCTCTTGGGAGCGCCCCCTCCCCCCTGCGCAGTGCACAGCAGGTGGGCGGCGGGAGGCTCTCTGCGGGATGCAGGATGGACATGGAGCACCCCACGGCCTCTGCCTTCCTCTAGACGTCAGGAAGGACACAGGTGGTGCAGGAGGGGGTGGTCTCCCCGCCGCCCTGGGCAGCTGGGTACCTCCCCTCCCGCCCCTCCTGCCAGGGGACCGCGAGTGCTCCAGGCGAAGGCGGCTCTTCCTTTAACCTTTAGGCACGGCATCGCGTCATGTCTGCCCAGGTGCTGGAATAATAAGCCTCCAGCTGCTGAGACGGGAAGGGATGAGGTCATCCCTCCAGAGGCCCTGCCAGGGAAGGCTCGCGGCCTCCAACGTGCGCTCCCGGGGCTCCTGTCTGTCCAGTTCTCAAGCATGCCATTGAGAGAGCCCACCCCCGCCCCAGCCGCCCCTGCCAAAGGCAAGAAGCAGTGGCTCCCCACACTGCAGCCTCTGAGAGCTTCTTCCCATGCCAGAGAGCGATCATCACCATCCTCGTTCAGCTCCGGCCCTCCCTTCCTGCCCCGTCCCCCTCATCAGGAGACGGGTCCCGGCTCTCCCCACTCCCACCAGGGCTCACAGCACAGAGCAGCTGCAGCTCCAACTGTGGCCTCCTGGTCCCAGCCCCGGCCTGGGCGCCTCAGGGGCTGCAGAGCGCACTTGCACTTCCTCAGGACGGCCACTCCCAGCACTGCCCAGGGCTCCTCACAGCACCGACACCCTGCCCTGGGGCCTGAGCGTCCTGCCTCTGTCACCTCCTTGCCCGCTGGCATGGGGGCTCTCTGGAGACCCTTGACAATCAGAACCACTCTCCCAGCCTCTGTGTAACTCAGCCCGGCTCTACCTGTAAGTCAGTGAGCACTGGGGCTGTACTTTGGAACTATACACCTTGGCCAGGCCAAACCCCAAATGCATTTGGAGTAAAAGCTTCTTAGCTTTGGGTCCATGGAGGTCCAGGGAGGACCATGGGTCCACCTAAGAATCCAAGCAAAGCTATAGGCTCCTTCTCTAGAAAAATGTATGGGCACACGCATTGCAGATTTTAGGGGGTGACTGGGTTTCCTAAAGCCCATCCAAAATCCACGGCCTCGAGTCAAGAACCATGATTTAAGAGCAGCTCTTTGGCCTGGAGGTTAAGATGCTGGTTAAGGGGCCAGCATTGTAGCACGGCGGGTTAAGCCACTGCTTGTGAGCCAGCGTCTGATATCAGTGTCATTTTGAGTCCCTGCTGCTACTTCTTGATAAGGCACCTGGGTAGGCAGAGGGTGATGGCGCCAGTACTTGGTCCCTTCCACCTTTATGGGAGATCCAGATGGAGGTCCTGGCTCCTGGCTCTGGCCTGGCCCAGACCTGGCTGTTATGGCCATTTAGGCAGTGAATCAGCAGATGGAAGACCCCCTGTCTCTCCTTCTCTCTCCCTCTCCCCTGTCTCTCACACACTCTCTCCCTTTCCCTCTTTGTGTATGTGTGTATATGAGTGTGCTTCTCCCCTTCTCTCTTTGCGTTTCCCTCTCTGTCTCTACTCTCTTTCTCTGTTGCTCTGCCTTTTAAATAAATAAATAATGGGGGGAAAGACGCTGGTTAAAATGCCTACATCCCACTGGAGTGTCTGGGTTCAACTGCTGATTCTTCCTCTTGACTCCAGTTTCCTCATACTACAGACATTGGGAGGCAACAATGATAGCTCAAGTAATTGGGGTCCTGCCACCCATGTGGGAGACCTGGATTGAATTCTTAGATCCCAGCTTTGGCTTTGATCCAGCCCCAGGCATTGCAGGCATTTAGGGAATAACCAGCAGATGGGAACTAACTCTCTCTCTCTCTCTCTCTCTCTCTGACTCTCATATAAATACAAAATAAAAATAAAAAGGACCCTGATCTAGAGAGACAGACACTCTAGCCATGGTCCAGAAGAATACTGAAGCATGACGCTTCTGGAAGATGGAATGAGACAAAAGGCAGCAGCTAGGAGAGAAATAAGAAAACTGCTGAAGCCATCTAATTTAAAATCCTGTACATTTCCGGGGCCGGCACTGTGATGAAATGGGTAAAGTCACCGCCTGCAGTGCTGGTATCCCATATGGGTGCCAGTTTGAGTCCCAGCTGCTCCACTTCTGATCCAGCTCCCTGCTATGGCCTGGGAAAGCAGTAGACGATGGTCCAAGTCCTTGGGCCCCTGCACCCTCATGGAAAGACCTGGAGGAAGCTCCTGGCTTTGGATCAGTGCAGCTCCGTCCGTTGCGGCCAACTGGGGAGTGAACCAGCAGATGGAAGACCTTTCTCTCTCTCTCTGCCTCTCCTCTTTCTGTGTAACTCTGACTTTC